GTACTTGTATTTCTTACTTTGTTGGGCCCGGTGACCAGGAGCACACCTACAATATGGGGCCTAACAGCCTTGTGGGGCCCAAAATAGCAGGCCCCACACTGATTTTAAAGTACAGTATGGGTGCGTGTGTGTGTGCGTGTGTGTTTTGTGCTCTCTATCGCCCCCCTTTTCTGATAATGTGGTATTGCCGCAGATACACACTAACGGAGACAGGCCCATGGAACGGGAGGGGCCGTTTATATTCGGTCACGGACGGTGTGATTGCATTTCCAACCAGAAGTTCCATGTGGTTTAACGTTGTACAAACAGAAGAGTCTCTTTATGTGAGCAACAGGTAGTTCTAGATCGCTAGCTTTTAATTGCAGACTGATAATGGTGTTGACTGCATAAGAAAGAAGGATTTTTTATTGCAATTGATCATTTGACTAAGTTTATTTATAGTTTTGCATGAATCCACTAATAATGTATTCGTTTGACAACGATTTCACACACTTTGTTTGTTTTTTTTGGAGCTGTCACATGCAGCTGACAGATCTCACTATCTGTCTTACAATATTTACAGTATAGATAATTAGATATAAGTACTGTTTTATATCTGTGGTCTGGCCTTGGTCATCTTTATTATACATGGGGTTCTGGTGACACCACTAAAAACCACTGAAATATTAAACCACTGAATATTAAATTTTGAAATTGTTTGATTGCTTTATAAATTGCTTTATTTTTGACTGTGTCTGTGTAATTTTTCATTCGTTTTTTTACAGAGCCATAATGTCCAAAAGGAGTAAGAGGATACGGCCTGCTGACGAAACAAGGCCATATTTTTTGTCTTCAAGTGACAAGTCAGGGTTTGGGGAACGATTTATCGATAGTAACAAAGGTATGGGACAGCTTATTACATGTGCATTTCTCAGTACCATTCATTTACATACACTTATATAATAATGCATATCTTTGTAGTTGGAAAATGGTAAATTTGTATTGTTTTTTCAACACACTTTTGAATAGTTGATGAATGAACAAAAGCAGGACTAATCTTTTAATTGCACATGGCAGGTAGACAGCAGCAGTTAATTTCAATGATAAGTCTTAAAGTCCCCCTGTAGTCAATAATGATATTTTGGGCGGTTTTAAACTGTTTTTGTGCCTGTTCTGTGGTACTCGCAGTTTTAAGGAGAAAATACTCCGCAATGGTGATGACTGAATTTGCACATGGTTTGTCTCAAAGCATATAAAAACAATACACAGACATATTATCAACATTAAAAACTTTAGTTTCACCACAGGAGGACTTTAACATTTTAGGCTGATGAAAAGCAATTTTTTGGATTAGGACTTTCTGCTTTAATGTCATACAGTTACAGTTGATGTGCTTTGTAATTTAAATGGGTTTTACAAGTAATCTGAAGATGTGTGCACTTTTTGCGACATTTGGTATTGTATTTCAATGTTTTAAGGGTAGATTTCTTATACCTTTTAGTATTGATGTGTCCTAAGAATACGGATCCCTTGGTGTAATAACAATCACAAATCTCCCAACTGCTGTTTTTTTACTATGAAAAAATAATAGAAAATAACAGGCCACATTTGTGTCTATTTGCCATGAAAAGAATTGAAATAGGAAACAATTGAAACAATGGCCATGGCATAAGAAGGTGAGTTAGTGCCACGGCGTGTGTGGGGAGAGAGGGCACGACAAGGCAAGGTAACAGTTTCAACACATTTAATGAATTTCGCAAAGAGGGAATAACAGGTGTGCAAATAAACTAATTAAGGAAGGGAACACAATAAAAACTGGGTCACAAGACAAAAACAGAGCTAAACTGTGACAGATCACCCCCCTCCGGAAAGGAGCGACCTCGCACCAACAGTGAGTCTATGAAGGAGGCAGGAGTGGGTGAAAGGATGGCAGAAGAGTAGGGTGGATAGAAGACAGGAGTGGTGAAGGGGTGGAGAATGGAGCAAGCAGGACCAGGGAGGCAACGAAGGATAACGCCGATGGTGGAGACCCAGACGAAGCTGAGCAGACACGGAGCCTGGGCGACACTGAGGATCCGGAGGGCCAAGGCGGAGCAGCCCACTCCAGCGACCGAGGCGAAGACGTGGTTCCGGAAGACCGCTGTGGAGCCGGAGTGACTGAGGATAAAGATTAAGCCGGGGGGAAGGAGGAGCCTGACAGAGCCAGAGGGGTGGAGGGACGAGGTGAAGCCGGAGGAGTGGAATCCTGAGGCAGCGGATGATCGACAACTGACCAAGGTGGAACCGGAGAGACATGGGAGCCCGGTGGAGCTGGTGGGATGACGGGCCACGAGGGAGCTAGGCACCAAGGTGGAGTCGATGGGTCACAGGGCCGAGGTGGAGTCAGGGATCCAGTGGTGGGAGGCGGAGACAGAGGATCCTCATGCCTGAGTGCAGCTTGTGACTGGAAGACCCGATGCAAACCCACATAGGAGATGGCAGGCTGAGGGTGAGCTGAGGTGATGACAGGTGGCAGCGGAGACAGGACTGACTGCTTGGCAGGCAGGAGGTAGATGGACTCTTGTCCAAAGTGGTGCCAGAGAGATGAGGAAGTCTGACGGAGCAGGCAGGGTAACAGGCCATGGCGGAGATGATGGTACTAGAGGCTGATGTGGAGCAGCTGCAGCTGGCAGAGAGTGAGCTGAAGAAGTGACAGTCAATAGAGGGGAAAGGAAACGCAATTCATTCAAGCCCTTTCGAGCTCCATGCACATTCTCTCTCCTACTAGAGATGCTAAAGCGCCACATTAAGGGCTGTAGATGATGCGGTTATTGTAACAACAGCAGCAAAAAGACTGAGCAGTAAAATTATGGATACTTTCACTAAAACTCTGTAGAAAACAATGCTGCAAATACAGTTAATTTTTTATCTATCATACATAGCCTATGACTCTGACCGTTCAAACCAGGTTTGTGGTGACTTTTTCATCTACATTTAGCATTTAATCAGTGTGCTAAGAGCATTTCAAAATAATTATATAATTGTTACAATTGGTAAAATTATTAGTAGATGGCAAGGAAAGACAACTTAAACTTTGGAATTGCTAGTTAACTTTGTTTTCTGCTCATGATGAGGGTGTTTGATTATTATGTGCATTGTTTTGTTGTTTTTAGTAGATACTACTAAAGTCTATGAATATTTAAGTATAAGAATATTTTTATATTTAAGCAAAATATAAAAATGGTCCAGACTTCAGGAGGAAAATGCTGAACCCCATAGAAACAATGTTTTTTTTTTCTTTCACGTGGCCTTTTGCATTACATATCTAAATGCAAATATCAACAGCTTGATAAAATATCGGATCTTACTTTTTAATATTCATATCTAATTGGGTTCAACTGATTTTTTTGTTTTTTTGTTTGTAGAAAAATTCTCAGGATTAATATATATATATATATCCCTTGCATTCATTAAAATCTCTCGATTGATGTACTCCTCGTCTCCTTCGTTCCTCGCTCCGCACTCCTCACAGTAGTGCAACCGTGACAGAATACCAGACCAGAGACAGTAAGCGCCACCCCTTCTCCCCGTGTTTGTTTTTTGGTTTTGAAAGTGTTTTGTTTTCCTGTTTTTCCCCACGGCATGGAAACCGCCGCACGCTTCGCCGCGCAATTGTCAAGCCCACCGGTCGCTACGAAGTCAAGCCCGCCGGCCGCGGCTCTCTCAAGCCCGCCGGCCACCGCAACGACAAGCCCTGCGGCTGCCCAGTTCACCCGTAATCAGAAGAGGAAGAAGAGGAGAAATGACTGGCTCAGGGCCCTCTCCCTCGCCCGAGAGCGCGCCCGAGTGTTCGCTTCAGTGTCGTCTCGAGCCCCAGAGCTCGCTCCAGTGTTGGCTCCAGCCACAGAGCTCGCTCCAGTGCCAGCTCTCGAAAGTGCTTCCCAGTCCCTGAATCTAACCCAGTGAGGGCTCCTGTTCCTGAGTTTAGACCACGGAGGGCTCCTGTTCCCGAGTTTAGCCCACGGAGGGCTCCTGTTCCTGTTGTTCCTGAGTTTAGCCCATGGAGGGCTCCTGTTCCTGAGTTTAGCCCACGGAGGGCTCCTGTTCCTGTGTTTAGCCCAGAGAGAGCTCCAGTCCCCGAGTTTAGCCCCTGAATATTAAATTTTGAAATTGTTTGATTGCTTTATAAATTGCTTTATTTTTGACTGTGTCTGTGTAATTTTTCATTCGTTTTTTTACAGAGCCATAATGTCCAAAAGGAGTAAGAGGATACGGCCTGCTGACGAAACAAGGCCATATTTTTTGTCTTCAAGTGACAAGTCAGGGTTTGGGGAACGATTTATCGATAGTAACAAAGGTATGGGACAGCTTATTACATGTGCATTTCTCAGTACCATTCATTTACATACACTTATATAATAATGCATATCTTTGTAGTTGGAAAATGGTAAATTTGTATTGTTTTTTCAACACACTTTTGAATAGTTGATGAATGAACAAAAGCAGGACTAATCTTTTAATTGCACATGGCAGGTAGACAGCAGCAGTTAATTTCAATGATAAGTCTTAAAGTCCCCCTGTAGTCAATAATGATATTTTGGGCGGTTTTAAACTGTTTTTGTGCCTGTTCTGTGGTACTCGCAGTTTTAAGGAGAAAATACTCCGCAATGGTGATGACTGAATTTGCACATGGTTTGTCTCAAAGCATATAAAAACAATACACAGACATATTATCAACATTAAAAACTTTAGTTTCACCACAGGAGGACTTTAACATTTTAGGCTGATGAAAAGCAATTTTTTGGATTAGGACTTTCTGCTTTAATGTCATACAGTTACAGTTGATGTGCTTTGTAATTTAAATGGGTTTTACAAGTAATCTGAAGATGTGTGCACTTTTTGCGACATTTGGTATTGTATTTCAATGTTTTAAGGGTAGATTTCTTATACCTTTTAGTATTGATGTGTCCTAAGAATACGGATCCCTTGGTGTAATAACAATCACAAATCTCCCAACTGCTGTTTTTTTACTATGAAAAAATAATAGAAAATAACAGGCCACATTTGTGTCTATTTGCCATGAAAAGAATTGAAATAGGAAACAATTGAAACAATGGCCATGGCATAAGAAGGTGAGTTAGTGCCACGGCGTGTGTGGGGAGAGAGGGCACGACAAGGCAAGGTAACAGTTTCAACACATTTAATGAATTTCGCAAAGAGGGAATAACAGGTGTGCAAATAAACTAATTAAGGAAGGGAACACAATAAAAACTGGGTCACAAGACAAAAACAGAGCTAAACTGTGACAGATCACCCCCCTCCGGAAAGGAGCGACCTCGCACCAACAGTGAGTCTATGAAGGAGGCAGGAGTGGGTGAAAGGATGGCAGAAGAGTAGGGTGGATAGAAGACAGGAGTGGTGAAGGGGTGGAGAATGGAGCAAGCAGGACCAGGGAGGCAACGAAGGATAACGCCGATGGTGGAGACCCAGACGAAGCTGAGCAGACACGGAGCCTGGGCGACACTGAGGATCCGGAGGGCCAAGGCGGAGCAGCCCACTCCAGCGACCGAGGCGAAGACGTGGTTCCGGAAGACCGCTGTGGAGCCGGAGTGACTGAGGATAAAGATTAAGCCGGGGGGAAGGAGGAGCCTGACAGAGCCAGAGGGGTGGAGGGACGAGGTGAAGCCGGAGGAGTGGAATCCTGAGGCAGCGGATGATCGACAACTGACCAAGGTGGAACCGGAGAGACATGGGAGCCCGGTGGAGCTGGTGGGATGACGGGCCACGAGGGAGCTAGGCACCAAGGTGGAGTCGATGGGTCACAGGGCCGAGGTGGAGTCAGGGATCCAGTGGTGGGAGGCGGAGACAGAGGATCCTCATGCCTGAGTGCAGCTTGTGACTGGAAGACCCGATGCAAACCCACATAGGAGATGGCAGGCTGAGGGTGAGCTGAGGTGATGACAGGTGGCAGCGGAGACAGGACTGACTGCTTGGCAGGCAGGAGGTAGATGGACTCTTGTCCAAAGTGGTGCCAGAGAGATGAGGAAGTCTGACGGAGCAGGCAGGGTAACAGGCCATGGCGGAGATGATGGTACTAGAGGCTGATGTGGAGCAGCTGCAGCTGGCAGAGAGTGAGCTGAAGAAGTGACAGTCAATAGAGGGGAAAGGAAACGCAATTCATTCAAGCCCTTTCGAGCTCCATGCACATTCTCTCTCCTACTAGAGATGCTAAAGCGCCACATTAAGGGCTGTAGATGATGCGGTTATTGTAACAACAGCAGCAAAAAGACTGAGCAGTAAAATTATGGATACTTTCACTAAAACTCTGTAGAAAACAATGCTGCAAATACAGTTAATTTTTTATCTATCATACATAGCCTATGACTCTGACCGTTTAAACCAGGTTTGTGTTGACTTTTTCATCTACATTTAGCATTTAATCAGTGTGCTAAGAGCATTTCAAAATAATTATATAATTGTTACAATTGGTAAAATTATTAGTAGATGGCAAGGAAAGACAACTTAAACTTTGGAATTGCTAGTTAACTTTGTTTTCTGCTCATGATGAGGGTGTTTGATTATTATGTGCATTGTTTTGTTGTTTTTAGTAGATACTACTAAAGTCTATGAATATTTAAGTATAAGAATATTTTTATATTTAAGCAAAATATAAAAATGGTCCAGACTTCAGGAGGAAAATGCTGAACCCCATAGAAACAATGTTTTTTTTTTCTTTCACGTGGCCTTTTGCATTACATATCTAAATGCAAATATCAACAGCTTGATAAAATATCGGATCTTACTTTTTAATATTCATATCTAATTGGGTTCAACTGATTTTTTTGTTTTTTTGTTTGTAGAAAAATTCTCAGGATTAATATATATATATATATATCCCTTGCATTCATTAAAATCTCTCGATTGATGTACTCCTCGTCTCCTTCGTTCCTCGCTCCGCACTCCTCACAGTAGTGCAACCGTGACAGAATACCAGACCAGAGACAGTAAGCGCCACCCCTTCTCCCCGTGTTTGTTTTTTGGTTTTGAAAGTGTTTTGTTTTCCTGTTTTTCCCCACGGCATGGAAACCGCCGCACGCTTCGCCGCGCAATTGTCAAGCCCACCGGTCGCTACGAAGTCAAGCCCGCCGGCCGCGGCTCTCTCAAGCCCGCCGGCCACCGCAACGACAAGCCCTGCGGCTGCCCAGTTCACCCGTAATCAGAAGAGGAAGAAGAGGAGAAATGACTGGCTCAGGGCCCTCTCCCTCGCCCGAGAGCGCGCCCGAGTGTTCGCTTCAGTGTCGTCTCGAGCCCCAGAGCTCGCTCCAGTGTTGGCTCCAGCCACAGAGCTCGCTCCAGTGCCAGCTCTCGAAAGTGCTTCCCAGTCCCTGAATCTAACCCAGTGAGGGCTCCTGTTCCTGAGTTTAGACCACGGAGGGCTCCTGTTCCCGAGTTTAGCCCACGGAGGGCTCCTGTTCCTGTTGTTCCTGAGTTTAGCCCACGGAGGGCTCCTATTCCTGAGTTTAGCCCACGTAGGGCTCCTGTTCCTGTGTTTAGCCCACAGAGGGCTGCGGTGCCTATGCCTGGCCCGGAGCCCGTAATCTTTCCCAAGTATTTTTTTGGGGTGGGGGGGTTCAATTGCCTCCTGAACTGTCTGCTCCGCCATGGCCTCCTGAACTGTCTGATCCGCCATGGACTCCTGAGTTCCCTGCTCCGCTGTGGCCTCCTGAACTGTCTGATCCGCCATGGCCTCCTAGTCTGCCTGACCCGCCATGGCTCCCCGAGTTGCGTGCTCTGCCATGGG